AGGAGCCCCTAAAGATTGGAAGAGTCCTTCGAACCGATTGAAAATGAATTTGGAAAGTATCTTGCATGTTGTTTTTCCCGTGTTCCAGCTTTATATAATATTTTTCCTGTGTTCCAGCTATATTTAAACCACATGTAGATTGTGAAACCGAACACCGGCGGGGCTACGCCAATGATGAAACCGGAACAGCCGAAAGTGAACCTTCAAAAAATATACAGCGAATCAAGGAACAAAGAGGTCGCTCAAAAAAAAGGAGGAGACCTCCTATAAAGTCAAGTATATGAAATTCCTTGTGCTTAACTGGGTGAAAATTTCATTAAGTTCAGAGTACTTCTCTTATCAAAAATGAAAGTAACTACCGAAGCTAAAGTAACCAGTAATGGCAACTTATATAGTCGAAACTGACCTGAATGCTTCGAACACTTGCTCGTATCCAGCATCTACAAATCCATGTACGGTATCGTCATAAATATGAGGTGACAGCCAGCTGGCAATAAACGGGCCCATTACGATGGGTGTAAGCAGTAAATAGCAGAATCCAATTGTGTCATCTTTAGGTTTTAACTTTTTTAGCATGCTGAAAATTCATGAAATAGTCAAGGTAGCAACAGTTGACACAGCGAGTCTCGTGGAACTCAACACGAGGGTGGACGACGACAAGGAGGAGGAGGAACCGCTCGCAGTGTCCAAACACCCAGAACCCCGAACAACATCCACTATCGCATGTGAAATCAAAAACCATTGCACTCTTTCTCCTCAAGTGGGGAATGTTTTTAGAGCTGGTTTCCCGTTCAAGGCCAGGCCCGAATACCGCATAAACAATGACCAGAAGAGGGTGGCAGCCTTCTTAGCGAACATTATAGCCATTGAACGTTTGAACAGCTGCGATTTGATAGAGATAAAGAATACCGAGAGTATAGCCAGAAGGCAAACAGGTACGAATGAAATAGAAACAAACAATAAAAAATATGATTATAGTCAAGAGGGGAGACGTGACGTAGTTACAAGCGGCACAGTATCACACAAGCATTATTCGGATTTCGAATCCCTGAATGATAGACATCCAAGCT